AAACATTTTTGCTAGATCTGAACTGAAATCCAATTACCAGTATTTATGTGGCTGCAATCCCAGTTAGGGCAAGAGTGCTGTTAAACTGGCTATTGTACCAGTAAGCCCAATTTCTGACTTCAGAGAGTTTAGAACACCGAAGACTGCCAAGTAGTGACACAATGACCAGGCAGTGAAGTGATATCAGGAACATAATGAGCATATTAGCCTGGACTGTAAAGAAATTATGTTCAGGTAATGACGACTTCTACTGCTTATTCCTCTGCCAGGCCCTTCTCTTTCTCCAATTGGTTGTGGATTCGTTTATCCATTTCAGCCAGATTTTTACAGAAGTGTAAAAATACCAGACTCTGGTGGTGAGCTGAAGCACCAGGTTCAAAAGAGGTTTGTGACACCTAACAAGTGGGTATACAAGAAAGACACAAATTAATAGCAGTTGTTGTGGTATGGGCTGCAAGACAGATCACAGAAAATCAAATGCTCTTAGTTCTCTTGCTTACAGAGCAACTTGTATTCTTGTGGGGAACAGGCTAGACTCATTTTGTACTGTTGTTTCTCTTGTGATTTCAAATAGTCATAACAATTCACTTAAAACCGCTTCAGCAATATGGCTTAAATACATTTGATCCAGACAAGAGTTAAAGTAATTAACTGACATTTGATTTTACTTGATATGGATCCAAACCATGAAACTTTGAACACCCTTAGAGTTCAGAAGTGTTTCATTCAGTGTTTGGGTACTAGTTAGTCTGTGTTCTCAAGTAACTTTTTCAAACTTAGCAAATTTAATCTCAGATTTAACATAAAAAAGCAACATAGGGAATCAACTCTATAAATGCTTTTTCTTTAAATATAGAGAAGTTCTAGAGTATAGCTGTAGAAGTAGCAAGCAGAACGAATAGAAAATGCGTTATCTGTATAAAGCTGTCTTTGTGTTTCTGTGCAGTGTTCACACCTGTGTACATACTTATGTGGCTGTACAAAACGTTACTTCTGCTGCAAGGACCTTACAGTCTTAACAGACAGCTGAAGCAATCTTGTGCTTTGAGACCCAGAGGATGGTGCTAACTTGGAGCATGTGTGCATTTTTGGTTTTATGATGTGATGACTGTAGTGCTGTAACACTGGTTAACATTTGTGGGCCTTGTGGAAGGAGCGTGTTCCCATGAGGGATATGGCTGGAGGAAACCTGCCTGCCTGGCACACAGAGTTGAGAAGGGTATTCTCAGCAGGGTTGAAATAGAGATGAGTAGCATGATGTTTTACATTGAGTATGATGCAGCTGGTAACTTGGAATGTGATTGACCATGTTTTGTAAGCTTGTTACTTCTTCTTGGAGTCTAATACATAAGGAAAAAGAAGAGGTTATGAAGAAATTTGAAAGGACGTGTATAATGTTTCTGCTGAACACAGAGGCATTCACTTCCTCCTTCAAAGTGCAATCATATGAGAATTGAAAAGACTGTACATGATAAGAATACATTGTATTTGCTGTGTTAAGAAACCAAGATGGAAAGGGAAGACTTTGGGGCAGGGGGCATTTTGTAGGATTCAATTACAGCCTGTGTACATAGGGGCAAAGAGAGAAAGTTTAAGTTGGCATCTTCAAGATGGCATGCCTATGTGACGCTAAAAACGATGCTACGGTATTTGATTTGTTAAAGTATATGTTCAGTGTCCAAGTAATTTAGTAGTAGAGCATATAATGATTTCCCTGCTTTGGGGAAAACTGAACTGACAGAAAGGTTGCAGAAGTCAGTATGCTTCCCATGAAGCTCTGAAAAGACTATAAGCAACACCAATATGGAAGAACACCGATTCCGTGACATTCACTTCACAATAACTTACTGTATGCAAAATACCTAGAAATTATTCACTTTGGTGCCTAAGCAGCACAGTGGAAAGTTTTCAGATTATTTAATGAAGTTTACTGTCTGTATTACAGCATAGAAATCATATTATCTCCTCTTACCATTGTATAAATCTTCAGTGATTTTTTTTGGTTTTGTTTTTGTGTGTTTTTTTTTTTTTCTTAATTTTCTTTTCTTTCTTTACTACATTATCTGATGCATTTTCAGGTTTTTATTATAACTTAGTAACTAGGAGAGCAACAGGGAAGTTCATCACTGTGACCATTAACTATGTAACCATCTTGAACTTTGTTATCCAAATTCAATGTGTGAGTTTAGTAATCATTCATTTAAGTAACAGTACTTGTGTTGCATCTATAATACCTCATATCTGAGGATTTCAGTATGATGAACTGAATCTCACAGTGTTCCTATAAGAAGGAAAAAAATACAGAAATTACAAATCATTTGTTGAGGCTTCCCAGATAAAGAAGAAAGACAGCCTAGATTTCATGGTTTGGGGAACCTACAGACAAGTTAAAATTCTGGGATAAATATATACAACACAAAATTACTATAATATTGAACTCTTTCGTGTATCTTGTGTTGACCTTTAAATGTGAGAGATGTGCCATCCATCTCCTAAACAAATGATACCACAGGATAATGGAGGACCATTTTATGCTGTTAGGTCCTTTTCGTGGGAGGGTGTGTTAGGACAGAGCTATGGCTGATGCCCAGAGAAGTCAGCACAGTTAAAGTTGTCTGCAGAAAAAAGGGTTATCAACAAAGACATCTTACCAGAAATACAAAAAAGAGGTACTTGAGGAGAGTAATGTGAGCAGTCATAGATAATGGAAAATTGAACAGTAGAGTCAAACTGAGACACATTTTGTAGCCAAGAAGTTTGAATTTTAATGGACATCAATGAGGGAAGGTGGACATGAGACCTACATGGCCACAATATTGAGTACAGTAGCCTTTAGCTATACCTTTGGTGTTCAGCAATTGGCCTGTCCCTAAGTCATAATCATATGCATGCTGTACATGAGACCCTTTCAGCTGATTTAAACTCCAAAAATCACTTTGGTGAATAAATTCAGACATCTCACATTTTTATTTTTGCTTTGCTCCTTTTAATTCTTTTGTTATAGTACAGGCTTCTCTGAGGAACCTTGTACAAGGTGGAAATATAGATTTACTGAGAATGAGATGCAAGGAATTCAGAAGTCTACAGGATTGCCTACCATGTGTTAAGCAACAATTGCTTTGGAGTACATGGTCTCATATTATTTGATGTGGTTACAGATAGGCAATCCCGACCGACAGTGAGATGAGGGATGCATCCAGGCCTAGCTCATCATCTCTTTGTTTCTGTTCTTGTATGTCTTTGAAGATGGGGATTGTGAATGAGAATAGTTGCAAGATGAACTTTAGGAAAAGTTATGTCTGAGGCCTTGTGGACAACAGGAGATGGGAACTGGTTCAGGAGTATAACGCAGGGTGTGTCATTACAAAAGGGTTAACAGAGAGCCAAAGAATACATACACCATAGAGGGTAAGGGTGCTAGAGGACTCCAACACTCAGAAAGTGTCCCACTGGTTGAGCTGTTTCACACTGGATTGCTTGTCTTCCCATCCTGCCTGCCACCCACTAGGATTATTTTGTACAGGATTGGAGTTGAATGCTGTCATGCTGAATTTGGTGAGGCATGTGTGGGGGACGGGAGCAGAGAGGGAGTGGGAATGTGGTGTGCAGATGTGCGAAGGTGAGAGTAAAGCTTATCAGCTACTGGTTCCAGAGGGTGGTGGGCTTTTCCTTTTTTTCTTTTCCTGGCTCTGCTGGTGAAGTCATCCATTGAACAACCTCAATTATCCATCCATACAAGATAAAAGTACCAGAGTATTATGTTAGTGTGTGAATACCTTTGAATGTTAAAAATATAACAAATAAATATATTCTGTGCCCTTTTGGCCAGCTGCTCTCGGGGTGGCCTCTATTAAAAAGGTCTTGAGACCCCAAAGACACTTTCCTTCTGTTGCATAACTTTTTTTTTTTTTTTTTTTTTTTGTTTCCAGTAAACCAGGTTTGAACTGGCAAATTTCTGTGAAGTCCTTTAGCCAATTTAATATTTAAAACAGACCTGTTAAGTTATGCTGTTTTCAGGAATGTCTTGAACCATCCTTGCTCTGCTAACCTGCTGTGCTGACTCAGTGCCTGAGAAGGAGTTGACAGCCCATGGGGACAGGGGAGTGTTCTGTGACTCTGCAGAAGGACAGCATAATAAAAGCTCGTAAGGGCAAAGAGTGATACAGCTAAGGTTTGTGTTGCAGTTATCAGCCAAGTAATTTAAAAGAAAAAAAAAAAGGAAAAAAAATTAAAAAAACAAACCTCCAAAACCAGAGAATAGAATTGAAGGCACAGCACCTGGTGACCTAAAATGGTAATCTGCACTAAATGCCCTCCTTCAGTAATGTCTGGTTTTCAGCACATTTTGGGTAGAAACTTGTAGAAAAAGGCTCTTATAAGTTAAAATTGCTACTCTTTCTTTTTTTTGGAAATGATTGTCATGACATTCTCATTAGAAAAACCAAGAAGAGACTGCAAGACAACAGCTGTTCTAGGACCCTGAGAGCTATGGGACAGCATGCGTTGCTAGTGCTGTAGCTGTTCTGCAGAGTTCTCTACTCTTAATATTGCTCTCTTCACAAGTCAGAAATTGCATTAGTATGGTTGCTGGATTTCCATGGACATATCGTTCCAGGTGCATATATCAGGGTGCTGATGTTCTTATATTTTGTGGCTGTTGTGTGCTCATGTCCCCAGCTTCAAACTAGAATTCAGCACTTGGGTTTTACTTACATTGTACTGGTGAACTTCATGTAGCTTGGTCTCTGCTTGCCTGTACCTTTATTTTAAATGTGTGTAAATTCATTAAATTGCCCTACATGCAATGAAAAATATGGAGATTGCATTTCTTTTTATTCACTTGCCAATGCAGATGTATGAGAGAGTGCACTTTCAGAACCTTCCTTTCAAAAGAACTTGTAATCACATGGTAGATAAGTAACACTTTAGAGGGAAGAGGACCTCCAGCCAAAATAATTTCCAAATGATCTTAAAGTGCAATTTCTCTTCTTATTTTGCAGCTAGCTATGGACCAAATCCAATTTGCAAAGGCTGTTTATCTTGCTCAAAGGATAATGGGTGCATCAGATGCCAACACAAGTTATTCTTCTTCCTACGAAGAGAAGGAATGAGACAATATGGTGAATGCTTTTTCCCATCAGGGTACTATGGACTCCGAACGCCAGATATGAACAGATGTTCAAGTGAGTTATTTTTGAACCCTTACATTCATGTTTGTAGGAAAGCCATAATTCATGCTCAGTTTTTAAGATGATATGCTGTGGAACTTGGCAATATTTTCACAGATATCTCATCATCATAAAACTTTGCTAAAGAACATCCCAGGTCATGGCAAGATATGTGACACTAAACAGATTAAATAGTTGATGCGTTCACCTACTTTTTATTGTTGCTGTTATTTTTGTTATTATTGCTTTAGTTAGAAGGGAAATTCAGGAAAGAATGACAATGTAAGCAGATATTCCTAGTTTTAACAAACGAATTCCCACTATATAATAATAAAAAGGATTTAGCATTAATTTAACAGTGCCTCGTCTAGGTTACTAGTCAGTGTATGCACTAATGTATGGGTGGGCTTTTTATCATGCTTTTTGTTCCCCCACAAATTTCAGGTGACCAGACACCTCACACCAGACATGCTTTAATATGTAAGTGTTGCTATTTTAATAAAACAGATGTACTATTAAAAACAAACAAACAACCTTTCACTTTTAGTACTGCATTTTATTTGAAAATTTACAACCTGCTAATGTGCAACAAGATTCCCTGTTTGCATGTTTGTGCCTAGAATCACAACTGTTAAAATCAATGAGCGCTCTGGTATCTCTACACATTATTTCACCACTGTCTGGCAGTTGTGCCGATTCATATCGATTTTTTCCATATGCTCATATGTGGAGTATTACCCATATGGATTATTAATCATTGCTATTACCTCTAATTTGTATTTATGGTGTTTTTTTTGTGTATGTGTGTGTCATAGTCTAACCACAATTAGGTCACCGAACCTAAGAACCTGAAGCGAGAAAGAGCTTTTCTTTGCTTCCTGGAATAATCAAGTGTCTGTTAAATGTACGGCACTCTCCCCTTCAGTACTGTGGCATGTCACACGGATGCAATGCGTTTTGAGAAAGTGGGCGCTGGCTTTCACATCACACATAATCTCAAGACCCATGTGAGGTCACTCCATGGCAGTGTGGGCTGGATGACGAGCACTCATGGCTGTGCTTGGACCCGTCCCAGCCTATGCAATGATGTCCCGCCTCTGTTTCCCCATTCCCTGTGCAGGCTCCATGGATATGGTATTCTTCATGTTGTGTTCCCAACTGCTGTGTAATATTGCCAAGTGCTGCCTAATCTATACCAGGTGGCTAGGTTTTGATGAAAATTAAATGAGGCCAGTATATGGTTTATGTATCCCTTCTGTAAAGTAATTTAGGATCTTGGCCTTAATTTTTGTAACACGTTCGTGAATTCAGCAACTTATTCACTTTAAACCTTTCAAAATGGGGCTGTAAAAACTTGCCCATGTAAAAATGTTTTTGAATATAGTTTACAGCTTTGGGAAATATATGAATTTATGTATATTAGCTTGTACTGTGCTTGTGAGATAGGAAAAGTAGTCCATACTGGTGGTCTTCCTTTACTTTCTTAAAAAAAGTTATTTGCAGAAGGTGAATGGTGAATTCAATATAACTTTTTTCATTTTTACCGTTTGCAGAAAGTGGCCTTTTTCTCTGAATTACAGGATTGCTTTTGAAAAGCATCTATGTGAGTTGTGTCCAACCCATATTGGCATGTGTTGAGCACTGGATATTTAACTTGCCCTCATGGCTTTGACAGCCTCCCCTTGTGAGAATAATGATGCAGTTGCATTTACCGACCACTCCTGGTTCCTCTCCAAAGATTTTTGTATTGTATATTTTTATTTTAGTGTAACTGCCAACTGGTGTATTTTTAAATCACATCTTCATTTTTTTTTTCTTGATTTGGTGATCTTGTATGGCACATGCATTGCATTGTGGACACACAGACATTTTGTGGATTGAAGCAGAGTTAAAATAAACATTCTTAAAAAATAGAATAGGTTTCTTCCTACTTGACGTTAGATATTTAGGTATGCTTAGTTACAGACTCAGATAGTATTATCTCAGCTAAAAAAAATAAAAGTTCTGGCTATGTTAAAATCCTTCTGGGAGTTACAGGGCTTGAATTACATAAATTGAAATGGTTTCTGCCCTATTAATGTCTTTATAGGCACAAAAGCTGTTTAACATTTTATTACTGGAACATTTGCCCATTTTTGTTAGGGAAGCTATAGAACATATTTTTATGGAAAATGTTGACATGATTTTAAAAGCCAAACATAGTTAGTGCCAAATGTAACACAATAAATACCACAGCCAAGTGCAGCAGCTCTAAATTGATGGAAATTTTGAATTTTAAGACTAATTTTCTTTTCTACATGTAAGCAGTATGTGTGTCTTGAATTTGCTAAGTGGTTCTAGACTGTTTTTCTAGTAACAGAGAATCATGTAATTTGAGACTGCTTGTCTCTAGAAACCGATGTAGAGTTTCCTGCTGGAGGTGATTTTCTTCTTGAACGCTGAAGTATGAGAATGCAGTACATTTGGATGCAAAACTAGTGTTAAGCTTCCTCTGTAGAATACCCAAGAGAAGAGATACACTTTGTTAATTTTCCAATAAAATTAGTAATTAATGTCTTTGAAGTGAACTGCTCTAACAATAAATAATCTCATGAGACAAAAAAAACAAAACTGAATTAAAGAGTAAGGTGAAATCTGTCACCTGAGTGGTTGGTTTAACATTTGGTCTGTATTCATAGGTACCTCTACAATTTTAGGAGGAGGACACACTCAGAGTTTAGAAATTACAGCTCCCTTCAGCTTTGGTTGGCTACTCCATTTGTTTGGGTTCACCTTCTTTCTCACAGGAGGGCCTGACGTTGCTAAAATTGTACTTTCCCCTTCCATGTGCCTTCAGTATAAGCAAGATAAGGGCAGCCTTTTAAACAAATTGAGCATTTATTAAACATTTGTAGTTCATTCACTGTATAAAGAAAGGTAATTTTTTTAAACTTTGTTACAAAATAGCAACACATTAATATATCATGGCTTGACTATTTCTTACGTAGTAAAGCAAAGCATATGACCTTCTGAGACTATTTAGTCCGTTCTGTTTTAAGTCTGTCAGGGGGTTCAATTACCACAGGGGCAGCAGCATTTGCTTTAAGTGAAATAATTTTTCTGACTTTTTAGAAATAGTTTTCATTACTTCTGTGTTTATTTCCTTCAAATATGGCTTCATCTTTTAAAAACAAGCTTAATATAACATTTGGGATTTTGAAAATTAAGTTGGATGGCCAGAAATTGAGGTCTACCTATCGTTATTTTGTAGGCTTTTTTTTTTTTTTCCTTATCTCTTCCACTCTCTTTTCCTCCTTCACATGGATTTGGATTTTTTTATATGAATTTTTTTGATCTTTGGTCTTAATTTGTATTTTGACAGAAGAGTTTTGTTCCATCCGTCTGGCAACAAAAATCATCACAGTGCTTTGACTTAACATCTATTAAATCTGTTGTAAATTTAGATTTAATAGGGCAATTGCATATTTGTAAAGTACTAATTAAAAACACTATGGTTTGGCATTTAGTTAAAATATCTCAATAATAATGAATAAAAATTAGAACATATCGGAAATGTCTCGCTAACTGTTTAAGTGAATTTATTTTAAAAAATTTCCTCACTATAGTATTTTGTAATTAGACATGTTGTATTCCAAGCATTGCTCTCCATAAAATGGTAGATGTGTGGTAAACTTCAGGAGCTGTTATGGTCAAGTGACTGTGCATATCATTCTCTAGCACTCATGTTCAGCCCCTGCCAAAGTTGTAGCTTAGTAACTTTATTTGTATCATAACAGTAATAAACCTGCAACTACCTCAGCCACATCTGCTTAGGAGGTTAAATAGCTAGCTATTACAGATATTCCCTTGTAGGCTAAAGCTATTTTGCTTATTGTTTTCCTCCTCTTACTGTCTCCTCCGTGACTTTCCTGAAAGTTTTTGTCTCTCTTCTCTTTCCATTGGTTGTTCAACTGATACTCGATCCACTGTAAGAACTGCTTACATCATAGCTTTCTTCAGCTTCTTGCCCCTGTCTCCTGCTCTTGTTAGCACTAGCACAGTCTTTGTCCCTCATGTGTCCTCAAGGTGAGTTATAAAATGTGTAGTCTGCCTAGGTTTTTGAGGTCTCTCCCAGCTCAGGAAATTCTGGAGAGGATTAGCACAGACGGTGGTGTTGGTCAATGGCAGATTGGTGTGGAGTGCCAACAGACAAGTCAGGATGGCAGCATGAAGTTAAGTCTTCACCAGTGCTGTTTTATTGAGCAGCAAGGGAGTGGGACCAGGAGTTGGAAGCAGTGAGTGTGATGGGCATGGGGACAGTCTGGCGACAGGTGATGAAGAGACAGAGAGATCTGAGGCAAGAAGAGTAGGGTGCTGTGAGTCAGAGCTCAGTGAGAAAGGCCAAAGTGTTAGGTGCTTTGGACCAAGCAACAGTTGTCACTCCCCAGGATAACCCACCTCACAGGCTCCTCTGGAACGATGCCTCAATGGAAAGACTGAGACATTCAAAAGGAAAATACTAACTGTAGTGAATCATCATTTATTACTTTGACTCCTTAAACACAAGGGGGCACCTCAAGCAAGGGCCCAATTCCAGTGCAAAGACTACCACACCCTTCAATTTAAGAATGCTGCATTTCCTTCCCCGGCTTCAGTCTGCAGATTCTCTTTGCAAAATATGATTGTTATTTCTCTATCTCGAAGGTGCTCAGTACAGTTCTCTTTCTTATCCTGGTTGTTGCTGGTTTCCACTCTTGCAGATTGCCTCGCATATTCTCACTTCCCTTTCCCATACTCAGCTGCTCTTCACTGGTGTCTGCATTTCATGTGGAGCAGAACTTGCTGCAAATTGTCATCGCTATTAACATTACTAGGAGTTAACCAACTGTCTTTTCCGCTATGTGTATTAGAAAATATCTCTGTTATGAAGGGAGTTGCTGATGGATAGTTGATCACATTCATTATGTTTAGAAAGGGACAATGTGACAATGGAAACAGGACAGAATATGGATCTTTCATAAAGACAAAATAAGACT